ATAAAATATGGAACACATGATAGAGCAAAAACAATCACCTAATACAACCAATAAAACAGTAGTTTAACGTAAAAACAAAAAAAATCTACATTGTTTGAATTTAACTCTAACTATTCGTGATATTGTTTAACCAGTTGATAAACGAATCCATAAACCTTAAAATTAAGTTGTAAAATTAGGTAATTCATTTCATTTGTAATATGCTAGATATTATATGATGTGAAAATTTTCAGCAGCCGGAAATAAACATTTCCCTCAATGATTAAAAGCATAAATCAAAAAATTTGTACCACCTACCACATAAATAAATGTAAAATTAGTCAAAACCTTAACATTTATAACAACAATTAACAAAATTATCTACTAAAATGCTTAAAATAATAAAGAATTCATCTACAGGGCGTCTGTTTGCAGACAAATAAAATCAACAAAGTTAATGTTGCTTATTATAAGAAGTCATTCAAAAAAAGACAAGGATTGTTAATTACATTAACTGGTGGAGGTAATGACCGTGTCTTCCGCAATCTTCGGCCGCGAAACGTATATCATGCCTACCAAAATTATTTTAGCGAACATCAAGTTATATTTAGGTGCACTAACATTTCATCCGAGAGTTCATTTTCTATTTAGGTGCTTGCAATATGCTGTAAACAACGTATCGTACAACATAGTAAGAGAAATAAACACGAATTACAAACAAACCTGAATCTTGACAGGTAAGTGAAAGTGAAATCCGAAATAAAATTATTAATAAAACGAGTTGTTTACATAAGCAGGTACATGCTTAGTGTACAGGAGCTTGTTAAAATAATTCTAATTGATGATACTAAAACTCAAAGCTGATTAATATTTTATAGGAAGGAACTGTACACTTGAAAACTTGTAGATCTGAATAATTAATCATTAAATCCTACCGAACCCATAAATCCGCCTTATATCAAGTACCTAATTAAATATCTAAATAAATATAAATTCTTTTTGAAGTGAAACTTCTTTACTCACGGTAGGGTAAGTTCGTTTCATGCGAGTTGCTGTGTAACGAAATCATGCAACGGATGCCCCCTCTACTCGGCCACGTAGTATTGTTCGTGGTGGGGATCGCTTGAGCCGGAGCGCGCTTCAATGCAACGTTTGTTACAGGCAACTCCGGCATGTATAGTGTAAAAATTAAATTGATAGTGTACAAATAATACCATTAAACCAGTTCCTTAACCCCTATCAAGGTATGTTTATGTGTTTGAAGAAGTTTCACTTCAGTAGCGTGTTGTATAATTACACGTTGTATTTTTTTTAAGTACTTATTACGAGTGCAAATTATTTTAGTGGGTTTCATAGTTATAAAGTATCTAATGATGTTTTATATACATTTTAATCATCCTCATCATCATCATCATCATAAGATTGTCAGTCCTAAGACTGGTTGGACACGCATTTCCACTATTTGTGAACAATAATCTAATCTAGATCGACCTGTACTCCTTTTAGATCCTTTTTCTGTACACATTTTAATATGCAACAAAAATTATGTGATAGATATAAAACTACTTCGATTTAAAAAACTATAAATAAAGCACTATGCTTAACCAAAAATTCCATATAAATTATGTATTGGTGTTTCATTCAACTGAATTTATATGGTAATTTTTATCATCTGCAAATTTTTGCACATAAACAATATTTATGTGGTTTTTGTTAAAGTGTTTCTGATAACACGATGTTGTTTCTGTTAACAGAATATTAAAGTAGGAGACTTGTTTCTATTCTAATCCAATTTTCATTGTTCGTAATACTGTTTAAAGCAGTGCTAGATAGAAGCCTTAAAACTGATGTGATGAGTTTGAAATGTTAAAAATACCCGTATCTATCTGTGTCTATAAATATACATTAAAGTTTCGTAATAAATGATTGTAATTAAATATAAACGATTTTATCAATACTATATTTATTGTACGAGTTTTAATGATACGTAACTAAAACAGTGTAATTTATAACATTACAGAAATACAAAAAAGTACTGTGAATACAAAATAAATTTTACCTTACATAACGACAAGATTTATTAAATGCCTTGTATTTATAATTACGTAATAAAATACCTGCCTGAATGAATACACTTTTAGAAAGTAAGTGACATATTTACATAACAATTGTCCCGATAAAAATTCGATTAGCATATAACACATGTTAACATATGTTGAGGTCGATAATACATAATATAAACAAACAAACATACAACCGAATGTGCCAAATAAATTGATCGTAATAAATGTACACAATAACAAAGACGAATTCAGCCCATTAATATTCACACAACCTTTCTAGTTGTTATTGAGTTACCCTATTTAAACATAAAGTTGTTCAGAACAAACCAAGGAGGATATATTTTAAGTAGGTAATATTCTAATAACTTTGTAGCAATTTTTTTATTATAAGCAGTTAAACTTGTTTGGAATTACAAAAAGTAAACAAGTAAACATACACTAATTATTGAAAATATTAACCAGCGATATGGTTATAATCCGAAATATTCAGCAGTAATTCACTAATCATTGCAAAGATCAATAAACAATATAATTGATAATATTGACCATCAATCTGTTAATATTTAAAGAATAATATTCATGTTGCCTTCTGTCAAAGGAAACTTTTTTGAAATTTTCACAATTGATTTAGACGAAAAGTATTGAAAAAACAAGTAGTAAGTAGGTAAGTAGTACATAAGTGACCCCAAGAGAGTAACTTAAAGTTTTTTTTTTAATTATAACAAGTTCTTCCCCCCTATGAGTCACTATGAACTCGAAACTGTTAGCACCATTGATTCAAGTGGTTGAAATTCACTTTTGTGAACAATTTGTTTAATCAATATCTTTGTGTTAAAAATTGTTCGAAAAATTAAATTTAAAGGAATTGTTTGTAAATAGGTATGCAACACATCGTACACTTCGGCATAAGAAATTGCTGATACTAACTAGATAATACTACTTTACCCTGTGCTGACAGCTCTCATAATTTCTTTTATATACAATTATATATAATATTATAGGATGTATACTGTACCAATTCATCAAATATCGTAAAAATAATGTAATTGCAGCTGTAGGAACTGGAAAATCATGCTACATATACATATGTATATTGAACTTTTCATTAAACAAAAAGGATACCGACTTCCTTTCCGTAATTACCACTGCCATTTATTCTGAAATAAAACAGAACAACTATCGGCTTACATGAATGGACAAATGGCCATTGAAATAGTAAACAGAACTAAAATTAGTGGAGCATATATCCGTTAGTCCTTTTTTCCCCGTTCCTTTTATTCAAAAACTAAACACAACTCTGTTCTTCGATTGACATAAAACAGTTACGTATGTATTTGTGTTGTAGCAAATTAAAATCGCACATATTAGATGTTTTTGTTGACCCAACGAACGTATAGAAATAGCCGGGGGATTTATAAAAATAGCGTTTCATTGTGTTGAATGTCAATCACTAAAGAATTTTAAAGAACTATTTTTAGCTGAGTAATGCCTATGTATATCGGTTGTCTACAAAAATTCATTAAGAAAATTATTCGCAATACTATCCTGCTTAAGACTGTAACTGCAGGACTGGACAAGTGAGAGATAAGGCCTGGTTCTTGAAAAAAGTGTAACGATTTCAAAGTTATAATTTCGAAAATAATAATAAGAAAGAAAGACATATAACAATAATGTTTCAACTGGTAATTTAGTTCACTAGTCGATTCATGCATCATTGAAAAAAATGAAGACAAAGATTAGTATTATTTACTTTACTTACATTTGTATTTTTAATCTTTAAATGCAAGGAGTATCATAAAATAAAAAAGAAATACCTATACACATAGAACACCTTTATGTAAATCTTTTTCTAATCTTAGTAGATGTTCTACTTTTCGTACCCCTACTAGGATCCCTTTTACAATGGGAACAGAAGTACTTTTATTTATTTTTTCCAACTACTAGCATAAATTCGAGACAATCATGTTATATAAGTAATTGTCCCAAATAAATTCTCTTGATACGCTACTGTATCTAAAGAAATTAAATCATCCTAAGATTGTAAACTTTTTCTACCTCTAATAATAAATTAACTTTTTGTCATGTTCTTCCTCTACAGAAAAATATATTTTGCTATACATAGCCAGGAAGTTGTTCTGATTTAAAAAGGATCGTAAATCGCGAAGGCTTGAAAAATTTTGTTTTCCCAGACATTTCGTTTTGTTAGCATGTAGATTTTTATCGCCGTTAATTTATTTTTTGTTTGGACTTGCACTAAAACAAGAAAACTAACTTTTCCTTTAAACGCGGAACAAAGTTTTGTAATACGTAAAGTGTATTTATTATCCTGTAATCTTTGACGCTATCATAAAGTAGTAAAGCTATCATCTTCTGGATCATAATTTATTTTAGTTTGTTTTGAATTTAGAAAAACTGTTTTGCAAGCCACCTTTACAAGTTTCAACGCTTTATCCACTGTACTCATCATAATAGGCGAATTAGTTCATTAAACTTAGTTAGTTGTGTGTTATATCCGGTATCCACCGAATCTAAGGTCTTTTTAAAACTTTTAGAAAACCTTTCTGTAGTATTAACATCTTTTTTTAACACATCATCTTACCGTTCTTTATTAAAGATCTGGTGAATAAAATAATCAATATGCCCTATTTAGCGCAAATATAATGAATAGTAAAATTGGTACACCAGAAAAAGGAAATTAAACAATGTTATCACAATCGAAAGCGTTTGAAATAATTGGATACTTTATCTGCATCAGTTATTATTTATTGTATTACACTTATATACTGTTATTTGTAGTCTGACACACATTTTTATTTACCATTAAACTAATTTTACTATACCGAAGGAGAGAATAATTAAAAAAAAAAAACCGAAGGTTAATAGTTTTGTAAAAACTTTTTAAATAAATTGTGTGTTGAAAAATATTGTTTTAGGTGACAGTTTTTAATTTTGTTTCAGAATGAATCCTGAGTGCGTTTGGTTATTCAACATCGAAGATGGAGGAAGAAATAGTTTCTCCTTTGCCTATCGTCCTGGAAACTTTGCATGGCGATATCTCTGCCGACACAGAAGAAATTAACGCCTCGATTGCCGTAGATATTACCAATGCCACTGATAATAAATCTGTGTCTGTAGATGATGCGGAACCAGCTCCAGTATGCGAAGATTACGAGGGTGATAATTCAATACATGGTTTCAACTTATCGAACGTTACAGTTATTGAAAGAATTAACGTCAATACTCAATCTAATGACGATAACAATTCAAATTCGAATTTAACGACAAATTCCAAAGTATGTGATTTAGATTCAAGCGTGAATACAAAAGTAAGCGATTTGGACTTGAGTTTGACTTCTAAAGGCTGTGAAGGTAGTGACAGTGGTGTAGAAGTGCTTGATAATGTTAGCGGAGAATGCAGATTAAAACGAACTTTAAGCAGCAATAGTGGCAATTATCACGATTTCGATAATGTCACTCCTGCCAGATCGTGCGACTCCTCGATTATTAGTTGCTGTTCTAATTACGAGGAGGCATACAACATACTGGCAAGAAGAAATTCGACACTTATGGAAGATTACAACCTGAGAAGCGGCGATGGAACTAGCGAAAACGGCAGCGAAAGCTCTTCATTGAGCAGGTCTTCATCTAAAGCATCTCGAAATAAAACTGGTATTACGAACTCCAAAAGGAAAAACATGACTCCTGACAATAGAAGTCAGCAGATACGTAATAGGACAGGGATGACCAATGGCCACTTGCAAAAGCCTAGCGATAAACTTGCAAATAAAGGCACCCCTTTGAGAAGTTCCAGTTCTTCCACTTCCAATAGATCAAAAGCACTTCCGCCCAAATTATCTTTGTCAGCTTCCAAGAAAGATTCTAACAATAAGTCACTGCTTCGTAATGTAGCAACTTGCAAAACCCCAAGCACATCCCCGGCAGATGACGGAAGATGGCCCTCGATTAACAGTAAACCTGCTCCCTTGATGGGAAGATCTACGAAAATGTCAGTTGAAACCCCGAAATGTCGTGTCCTAACCGATTCCATTTACGCCACTTTTCCTAGGAGACGCAAGGATAAAGAATCGAAAGAGTCCACAAATCGTTCTGGCAGCCGAGAAGGCAGCATCAATAAAACCATATTTAAAAAACAGTCAACCACTCCTCTTAGGTCCCTGCCTCCGTATCCCAAAAGGAAATCGGCTCCGAAAACAAAAATATATCACGAAACCAGCATACAGACTGCCCTTACAAATGAAGACATTGAAAAAGCTCTTGCAGGTGTTATGATCAAACCGTGTGCACCGCAAGACGTCGAATTTAACGATGTTAGTGTTCAAGTAGACATAGCCAATGTCAAGGCCAAAAAGACCCAAGAACAATTGCAAGACGTGAGTGCGAAATATGAAAAGTTAATGAAAGAATTCGATGAGCAACAAGAGCGTTTACGTGATACAGAAAGAAGACTTAAAGAGGAAAAGACTGAGAAACAAGGACTGCAAGAAGAACTCAAGCACAATACAGAAAGAGTTTTGGCCATACTGGGGAATGACGTAAATCCATCGACAGGAGTAGCTGGTAAGTTTTAATTTAACTCATTTACTCTTTAATCTTTAGAAGGTAATATTGATGAAAATTTTTAAATTTTAACAGAAGAAAATGTCACATCAGACAGCCTCGTTGTCTTGGAGTCTCGATATCGTAAAGTTGGCGATATCGTGATAAAGCAGGAAGAAGAGATCTCGGAGTTAAACACATTTTGTCGAACGTTGCAGAGAGAGTTAGATAAAAGCATGATGGTGCAGCATACCCTCGTCCAGAATTTACAAGAACTGGAATCTGAGACCAAAGAACTTCAAGAGTTCATGCAGGCCGAGAAAAACGCTCTTTCTGATGCTCTAAAGGAAAGCGAGGCAGAAATCAAAAAATTAAATGCCACCCTCGTTAATAAGCAAAAGGAAATCGAAAGCAAAACAGAAGAATGCAGACAATTAACAAGACTGAGTGAACAAAGAAGGTAAGAAGAAATTACACTCTAGAATACTAGAATATCACACTTTACACTTTACTCCTGTTTCTGCTTCTAGTCTCTATTTTTCAAAAAAAAAGTATGATGGTAAAATAATATTTGATTTGACTTTACTTCTTTAGTTTATTTTGATTATTCCAGATTGGAAAATATGGATCTCCAATCGCGAATAAGTGCCTTAGAATCGAATTATAAAGATATTTTAGTACAAGGAAGTAAAATATCCTCAGCTGCCATTGCGTTATCGCTGCTCATATCACGACTAGACAGTCTAAATCAAGAGCTTATTAAGTCGTATAATATTTCCGAACAAGAATTAGAAGTAAGTCCATTAACAACTTGAATACGTAAATAAATTGTTGCTGTAAATATGTTTTTAGCATGATATCCTTTTTCAGGACGTAATTTTCCACAACGAAGCATATACTAATAGTAGTAATAGTCCTGATTTAACTCCAGAAAAGCAAAAAACATTCGACCAGGATAATATGACTGGTAGTATAACCAGTAGCAGAGCTTCTTCGTTCGTATCAGCAATCATACACGCCATCAAAAATGCAGCCTCACAATCGTTATTATACTACAGAGAACTTGGAAGCGAATCAATGCATGCAGGTAATTTTATTTTTTGTATCTTTCCATTCATTCCTATCATCGTCATCGCCACCAGAAGGTCATAAGTCTTAAAACTAGTTGCACACTACCCTCCACTCGCCCTATCCCGAGTAAATCCTTGCATTTTTCTAAAACTGGAACATCAGTATTTGCAAAAAGTCTAGTGTATGCCTTTCTTTGTCCCCGTTTACCCCTATTTCTGCTCCTAATATGTCCCTAACCCCAAGTGAACCATTTTAATAATCTTTTCCGTACATAAAGGTATTTTTTTTATCTAAAAATTTCTAACGCTTTTTATCTGACTTTCTAGATACCAAAAATCAATGACTTCTAGTTTTTCATCTCCAACTCTTCCACTTTCCTTACATACCAAAATTTTTGTTCTAGTTTTATTTATTTTCAATCTAGTACAAAAAAAATAAGCATCAGATTTGCCCTTTACATATTTTATACTTTTTCCAGAAGTTCAGAACACGTCGGAAATCCTGGACTTGGAAACCGAACCTTGTCTGATGATGGAACCAGTATTAGAAGACGTCGTTTTACCAGATACTCATTCCCAAAATTTGGTTTCCTCAAGCAGCCTCGCCAATTCCATTCGCCTTACAAGAAGTGAAAGCCTAACAAACCTCTCGAACTCTTTCACACAACGACAATTCAGTTTGGACAATACTGAAAGCATGAACACATCATTGATCAGTAATTCATCCTCCTATTCAGATTTTGGATCGTCAACGTCTCTTCTCGATCAAATAATCCATCTCGATAACTTGGTCACCAAGTTGCTGAAAATATTAAGAATAATTCAGATCGAAAACGAAGAAATGCAAACTGATTTGCAGGAGGAAAGAGACAATCTTGTAGTACAAGTTGAAAAGCAGAAGGAAGGGAATAAAATTGTTGCTAAACAATTAAAGGACTGGGAAACGTTAGGTTCTAGGCTAAAAAAGGAAGTGAAAGAACTGAAACAAGAATTAGGGAAAAAGAATACTGAAATACAGAATGTCAAGCTGGAAGGTGATAAAAGTAAAAAGGATATTGAGGTATGCATATCATCTATATTGTAATATAAAAAGGAATAGTTAATAAATAAAAACAAATTAATTTCCACAANGTTTATTTATTAAGTGATCATGAATTTCCATCAAGAAAACGTAGATGTCATCAATCATAAAAAGGAATATTTTTGCAGAAACTTAATGAGGATATTTGCACATTGTCAACTCTTTGTTCAAAATGTGAACACAACAATTTGACTGCAGAAACAACGCCAAAATCTAACGATAAGACTCCAGTACAGTTTGAGGAATTAGACTTATCGAAAGAAGTAAGTAACTAATGAATAGATGACTGTTTCATAATTCCATGCAATAATGAGCATATTATAAACATGTATCTACTTAATTTATTTATTTTTTAAAGGTGATTCTACTTAAAGAAAAATTGCAAGGGAGGGAGAAGCAGCTACAAGAAATAATGGACGAATGCAGAGCAAGCAAGCAAGTTCAGACAGAAAATTTTAAAATAGCAATAGAGGAAGCTAAAAAGCAGTACAAGGCTATTGATAATGCACTTGAGGTAAATAAAATCCATTAAATACAAGACACTGTACCAAAAATCCTTGCCATTGATAAATTACCTACTGTTTATTTTCCAATTTGAAATTCCTGATTCTGTAACTAGTTAAAAAAAGGATAATTTAATTTAAATAAAACACTAACTGAAACCTGAGACTCAGGATAAAAAAGTTTAAAAAAAATTTAAATGCGATGTTTGAAAATATTAACTGCTGAGTTTGATTTAAAATAGTTTGAAAATTAAAATTAAATCTTTCTCAATTCTCAATGTATTACTTTCCACTAAAAGAATATTTATTTTTAATTCTTTAACTTACGAGAACCCAATAAATTCTAAACTCCTTGAAAATGAATAATCTAAAATATTGGAACGATATTGTTTTCCGGGTTCAGTGTCATAGTTCATGGAATTTTGAAGTTCCAAACTGATATCAGCACCTGCCAAATCACCACTTATCCTACCTTAAGAAAGGAACTACGAAATTTTATGAATTACGACAAAACAGCCCATAAAACAATATTGAATTGATATACACCAGCTGTGTAAAAATGAAAACTACAAATTATTGTGGTGTGCTAATAAATGCGTATGATCCAAAATTCTTAGAAAACGATTTGAAAAACTTCACTTCTTAGATGGACCCATAGCTAAAGAAACTATGGATTCTATTTCTTTCTCTTTTTACAATATAAAAGATCAGAAACAAAATGGGGTTGTAAATATTTTGATATAGAAGGATTGATGTTGATTTTACATCAATAAAATTATTTTGCAACACTATTTTGGCTCTGANAGAAAAATATAAATCATACTCAATCTTACCAGCTGGTAATATAGTGCAACCACTACTATTAATCTAGAAAAAACTCCAATATTATAAAATGAACAAATGCCTGGAAGGTTTTCTTAAAAAATATTTTATGTATGTTTTTAAATAAATGTAGAAAATTAAATAGGTACCTACTACAAGAAAGTGTTTATTTAAAAAAAAGTATTTTGAAAACACGTATTTTGCATTTAAAATACAAAAGAGAAATCTATTTGTAGTTTACATTTGAAATAACGAATTAAAAATGTATTTGCATTTTGTATTTAAATACTTTTAAAAAACTATTTTGCACATATCTATTCTTTACACAGGTCTAATCGATCGAAACAATTTTAGAGTTTGTTATTAAAACATTTCTGAAACATAGTAAAGAACGTGATAACTATTTGTTTTTCAGATTTTACACAGTATTCAACCAGTGGTTCAAGAATGTCCCCAGCTGGCAAAACTGCAAAGTGATTTGGAGGATCTAAATTTTCAGACTATTTCATCAATTCCTTTGGCAGTTCCGTCCGAATTCAACTCATCGGCTCCTGTTCTGGTGAGGACCGTAACTGATCTTGAAATTCCTTCTCCTATTAATAGTACTGCATAGGTCTAACGTTAGCTAGGTACAGTAATACCAAAAACGAATTAAAAATTACACTTAACATGTATACACTTTCCCAGTGAAATTTTCTACTGTTTGTTAAAAATTCTGCTTATCTGCTCTATTATATTCGTTTGTAAATGATTAAGTCTTATCAATAAATAATTTCAAACAACATTTGCCTTACTAGAAAACGAAAAATTTCTAGCATATGAATTTTGTTGTAATTTAAGGAATATAGTATTGGTATATACTTTGACTTAAAATTGTGATTTATATTGTTTTTTGTTGATTTATTTCCACTTATAACTTTTTTTCATGCACTCTTAATATATATATAGAATTAGGACGAAACATATACATACGTGTAATAAAATGCAAAGTACAAATTAACGATCAATAAATAATAAAAATTATATTAAATTCCTACCAAGCGAAAAATCGAATAAAAGCAAAAAATAAAATTAAAATTTTTGACTTTACGTAGACGTTGTCAAATATCTGATGTTTCTTAACTTATTAATGTTATGTTTATTATTTTATTTGTAACAGTATGTGTTTGACTATTATATTCTATTAATTTATGACTGGGTATAATTTGTAAATTCCTTCTTTACAATCATATGTAATTGTCATTTATTGGCAATAACTGAATTATTATAATTTGCTTTTTTTCGCTTAATTATTACCAAAGTAAATGATAATGTGTTGAAGGTGCTTTTGCAGTTGTTTGTTGTTAGACAACTATTGTACACTACTTTTGCCAATAAAGAAAATGTGTTTTTATAGATTTTCGTTTGATTTAATTTAAATAATTTTAAATCATTGTTAAAAAAAGCTACTACTCATATCACCTGTCTGGATTTAAAAAGGTAGGTATTNTGTTGTTAGACAACTATTGTACACTACTTTTGCCAATAAAGAAAATGTGTTTTTATAGATTTTCGTTTGATTTAATTTAAATAATTTTAAATCATTGTTAAAAAAAGCTACTACTCATATCACCTGTCTGGATTTAAAAAGGTAGGTATTGTAACACAAGGTGAGTAATTTTTTAATAAGTTTAAGAAAAGTTTATTTGATCGAAAAAATCGTAAAGAACACCATAAAATATAATTTTTTGGCAAAAATATGGCAAACGAGAGCGTATTTAGATCATTTATTGAATAATCTTTGAAATTAGATGTGATTTATTGATGAATTTAACAAAACTATTCTGCCAAACTTCAATTTTCGTTCCTATACGTCGGTCGGCTTTGAACGAAAAAATGTAAAAAACTCCATAAATAATAATTTTTTAGCAAAAATAAAGCAAGCGGGAGCTCTTTATATCATTTATTGGTTAATCTATATCATCAGTTATCATTTATCGATGAATTAAGCAAAAATATTTGGCAGAAGTTCGATTTCAGTTCCCAATCAATCGACAGGTAGCTATACATGGGTTATTTTTGGGAACCAAAATCGAACATCAGGTCAAATTGTTTTCTTAATTCATCAATAAATGACAACTGATATCGATAATTAATCAATAAATGATACCAGCTAGCTGTGGCTTGCTTTAGTTTTGCCAAAAAATGCCTATTCATGGTGTTTTTACGTTTTTTCGGTTAAAATCGACCCACGCATTTGAACCAAAATCGTACGATCCGAGCAGTTGAGCAAAAATTTTCAGATCGATTCATTCGATTTTAATTCGCATACGTGGGTCGACCTATTCGAAAAAAATGTAAAAACCACCATAAATAATAGTTTTTTAACAAAAATAAGGCAAGCCACAGTTAGTTCTTATCATCTACTGATTAATTATTGATATCAGTTGTCATTTATTGCTGAATTAAGAGAAAAATTTGACCTAATGTTCTATTTTGGTTCCCAAAAATAACCCATGTATAGCTACCTGTCGATCGTTTTTAGGAACCGAAATCGAACTTCTGCCAATTAATTTTGCTGAATTCATCGATAAATGATAACTGATCATATAGATTAATCAGTAAATGATATAAAAAGCTCCTGCTTGCTTTATTTTTGCCAAAAAATGATTATTTATGGTGTTTTTTACGTTTTTTCGGTTAAAATCCACCCACGTATATGAACTAAAATCGAACTTTTGCAGAGCAGTTTTGCTTAATTTATCAATAAATCACATCTGATATTAAAGATTACTCAATAAATGGTCTAAATACGCACTCGTTTACTTTATTTTTGGCAAATAACAGAAATTTATTGCCCGAATTGCGTTTTTTTTGTCAAGATCTACCCTTGTTAGGAATTAATATTGAATTTTTGCAGTCATTTTTTGCTTAATTCATCAATAAATGCCTGATATCGTAAATTGATGAAGTAGCGACATTTACACATTTATTGCCAAAAACAATTCAAAGGTAGTTAAATTTTGGTGAAGGTGCCAGACACGATACGAAATCTAGCAAAACTTTGAAAATCGGAAATTTGTATTAGGAGAGCATAAGATGCTTGGGAAATCTGATAATTTGCCGCGTAAATTTTAGTGTTATTATTATTGCCGCTTAGTAGCTATCTGGTAGACATCTGTAATATAGTTGAAACCTGTAAACTAGATCCAATAATGTTTAACTATAGACCGTGAGATGTCCGTCCAGGTACCTGAGATACGAAGGACATACTATAATTCTTTAACTGTAATATAAGGTTTTGCATTTAAAATACAAAAGAGAAATCTATTTGTAGTTTACATTTGAAATAACGAATTAAAAATGTATTTGCATTTTGTATTTAAATACTTTTAAAAAACTATTTTGCACATATCTATTCTTTACACAGGTCTAATCGATCGAAACAATTTTAGAGTTTGTTATTAAAACATTTCTGAAACATAGTAAAGAACGTGATAACTATTTGTTTTTCAGATTTTACACAGTATTCAACCAGTGGTTCAAGAATGTCCCCAGCTGGCAAAACTGCAAAGTGATTTGGAGGATCTAAATTTTCAGACTATTTCATCAATTCCTTTGGCAGTTCCGTCCGAATTCAACTCATCGGCTCCTGTTCTGGTGAGGACCGTAACTGATCTTGAAATTCCTTCTCCTATTAATAGTACTGCATAGGTCTAACGTTAGCTAGGTACAGTAATACCAAAAACGAATTAAAAATTACACTTAACATGTATACACTTTCCCAGTGAAATTTTCTACTGTTTGTTAAAAATTCTGCTTATCTGCTCTATAATATTCGTTTGTAAATGATTAAGTCTTATCAATAAATAATTTCAAACAACATTTGCCTTACTAGAAAACGAAAAATTTCTAGCATATGAATTTTGTTGTAATTTAAGGAATATAGTATTGGTATATACTTTGACTTAAAATTGTGATTTATATTGTTTTTTGTTGATTTATTTCCACTTATAACTTTTTTTCATGCACTCTTAATATATATATAGAATTAGGACGAAACATATACATACGTGTAATAAAATGCAAAGTACAAATTAACGATCAATAAATAATAAAAATTATATTAAATTCCTACCAAGCGAAAAATCGAATAAAAGCAAAAAATAAAATTAAAATTTTTGACTTTACGTAGACGTTGTCAAATATCTGATGTTTCTTAACTTATTAATGTTATGTTTATTATTTTATTTGTAACAGTATGTGTTTGACTATTATATTCTATTAATTTATGACTGGGTATAATTTGTAAATTCCTTCTTTACAATCATATGTAATTGTCATTTATTGGCAATAACTGAATTATTATAATTTGCTTTTTTTCGCTTAATTATTACCAAAGTAAATGATAATGTGTTGAAGGTGCTTTTGCAGTTGTTTGTTGTTAGACAACTATTGTACACTACTTTTGCCAATAAAGAAAATGTGTTTTTATAGATTTTCGTTTGATTTAATTTAAATAATTTTAAATCATTGTTAAAAAAAGCTACTACTCATATCACCTGTCTGGATTTAAAAAGGTAGGTATTGTAACACAAGGTGAGTAATTTTTTAATAAGTTTAAGAAAAGTTTATTTGATCGAAAAAATCGTAAAGAACACCATAAAATATAATTTTTTGGCAAAAATATGGCAAACGAGAGCGTATTTAGATCATTTATTGAATAATCTTTGAAATTAGA